AGTTCCTCTGTCTTCAAGTACGTTTGATGGGATGCTGGACAAAAGGACGGATTTTATTGAGATTTCCAAGGCAGTGTGAACCATAGAGTAACACTTCACAGGTTTTTACCCGCCTCTTGCTGCTCGATGACGTTGGATTAGATGAGTGGCTTTAAAAAGTTTCCCTTACTTCTCTCGCAAATAACCAAATAAACAGCTAATATTATGCTCTCCAGTTAAAACAAAAATCCTTCAAGAGGTGGGCATGTTGTCCTGCAAGCTTAGTATGATGCAGTTACTCTTTTCATAGAACAGATTGCACCATTGGTTGCTGGAGCAGAATTATTTTAGAAAGGTAGGGCCTTTATTTCTGACTATAAATGTGCCAAAAGTTTATGCTGAAGTCTGATGCTTAAAAAGTAAAAAACGCTGAAGAAAGGAAGGAAAACTGGTAGGAACACTCATGGCAGGCCAAAATAAAGGAAAATGGTGTAAACTATTTGAGATAGGAGTCTAAACACAAAATTTACTCCTGTGATTTCTGACAGTAATGGATATTTCTCATCTTTAGCCCAGAGGCAGAGCACTGCCTCCGCTTAGTTAGTCCATCACATATTACAGCACACGGTCTAAGATTCTTTCACAATGAACAATTTTTTCTAAGATCCCAGATAACCTCAAACTGTGCAACCAGTTCAAAACACACAACAAATTCTGCACAGCTGATGCTAAGTTTGGTTTAGTTTTCAGCAATTAGATTATACATATTTTTTTAATATATTTGTTTTAAATGAAAGCCTTTATATGAACTCAATGTTATCACACGCAGAGAATCTCATAACAGTCATAAGTTCTTCTTTTATTGTTATTTTCTTTTTCATTTCTGTCAACTTCTTTATCATATATTTTTGATTTTTTGTTTTAAAACGTCAAAAAAATGAAAAGTAAAAATATACGTATCGTGCTCAGTATGGATTATTTATCCTTGTCTCTACATATTTGTAGGGAAAAGCAAATGCTGTTTGACTTTGGTAATACATTACAGTGCAATGCACAAAAAAAAATGAACCATAATAAGTAATTACGCTAAAGCAGTAATCATGGTTTAGTTTATTCTCAATATTTAGTTTAAATTGATGATCCAATTAGTGCTGCACTAAAAAGCTTACTTACAAACCAGCACAGGCTGCTAATTTTAGACTATATTTATAATAGATTGCCATATTTCTGAGGGGCTCTGGGCCTTCATTCTAAATACAATGTTTTATCCTTGAATTAATTGACCAGAAATTATTTCATCCAAGTGTTTTGCAACTAACGCAACCATGTAGGTATTAATCATGTAGTAAGCTTCTCTGATGCAGCTTGTGAAATGTTGAAGCAAAGGAGATGAAAATAATTAGTAACCTTTGACAACGTACCAACAGCGGATGCCCTTCCAAGGTTATTTGTTCCCCCCTTATGCACCCAATCCCTACTTTAAACACCCCCAGCCTTTAGTGCCACATCAGGCACATTCTTCAAGCTTGTGTTTGATTGGAATCTTTGAAAGGGCGGCGTTACAAAAGGCCACTCACACACCAATCCTTGCCTGCGTAAACTGACAGCTGTGCCATGGCAACAGTTTGGCGAGTTGCCAGGTTCTCCAAGTTGCCAGGCACATGGTTCCCATGGCAACATTCATTTTGCCATCTCGTACGGCGAGTTTGGTGTCGACCGAGGCGGATTACCGCAGGACAGAGAATTGCTTTCACCTAGGTGGGGAAAAAAGGATGCATACATTTTTCAGCAGACCGTGGCTGCACCCTGTAACATTAAAAAACATTGCAACATTGATGTAACCCCCTAGTCAGAGATGTTGCATGTTTTATTCAAATGCAAAGCAATAGCAGTGGTTACATATTGATATTTAAATCTGAGAACCGATGCATAAAAATCCAGCCTTGAAAGGACAAGAGTTTTCCATTTTCCCAGAGGTACATGATGTTTAGTTTAAAGTCTACGCCACCCTGATAGAAAATTAGTGCTCTGGTGTTTACCAGAAAATCCCACAGAACAGTACTTTAAAAGTGTCACAGCAGTCTGCGCCTCTGTAACGTTTCAAGGACAGTGATGGAGCATGAGAAGAATTTTGAACTTGCAGTGACGCTGCCCAGTTTAGGAACGGCCTTTTGGATATTTTTCATGCTGTGGTAGTTTTTCATGGTCCATGTAGTTGTGCTTCAAGGCAAAGTGGGAGGAAGATTGAGGGATAGCTGACATTGGCTCAATTACACTGCATTTCTGTATGATTTCTTTTTAAAAATATATTCTACAGATGGGGGGGTTAAATAGCAGGGAATTAAAAACCCGACCAACCGTTCATATGCCAAGGGGAGGGCGGGGGGGAGGGCATGGTTGAAAGGGTAAGAGGCGGGAAAGGAATGACTGAATGAGTAGAGGGAGGAGGAATGAAGGGGTGAAAGAATGCAGGTTAGAAGAAATGCAGATATGTGTAAAATAATTTAGCCGCAGAGAAAGTGAGGGATGATGATGTAAGAAATTCACCTCAACAGTGGCCGCTGCTTCAGCACATTCCATTTACTTTTTCTGCTTCTGGTGAAAAATTAAACATTTTTAAAATGTTCTTCTTTTAGCAGTGTACTAAATAAATCCAGGTTTGATCTGTTTATGTTGCAGTTAACCAGCTTGTCTTAACATAAGTTGGTCCTAATCCCTAAAAAGTGTTATACATAATTTTTTGTTTTTTTTTCAAAATATACATTCATGGACCTTAAACTGTGTTTGGTCTTTTAAAATTCTATTTGTTGTTGTAGAATATTATGTTTTAAGCTTGGGATCCCGAATTAATCTAAAACGACATTAAATTTAGCTAAACCTTCAAATAGATGCTGACTGACATCTTTAGTGATTTGATCTATTTTAAAAAATCACGATTAATTCAGCAAAAGCAATAGAAAACCAATTCAGACACAGTTGAAACATTACATCCTGTGAAAAACTATTTGAGACATCAAAGCGTCAAGCTAACAATGCTTTTTTAGAATTTCATTGTATTTTTCTTCCTTTCTCTACTTTTAATAATTACTTTGTTGGGTCTAAGATTTTTTTAAGTGTAGGCTAGCAGAATAATTTCATAGGGATCCAAAGTAAAGCCTTTACAAGTCTATCATATATTTTACTAGAATCTGTTTTTCTGCTGTGAACACTGAATTCTCTCACTGGCATCCAGACAGCATATCATCTTGCCCTAGATATGTCTGAATCAGTGCTGGGAGTAACTTAACACTCCTGGCTTGTAGCTGTTGGAATGTACCAGGCTGCCAGCCGTCCTGCAGAGAGAGAACCGCAGTTATACATTCTGAGAGGAGAGAGGGAGCCAAAAAGGTTTGGGGGTTCTGAAATTCATCATCATTTTGGACACGGATGGGTGCTGGAGGAGGAGAGGGGGGGACTCTTCATCGACCGTGAAGCAGAAGTCACCCAGATTAAGATGTCACAACTGACAGCGGAGCCGATGGTGATGACAGATGGCAGATGGTTTTTAACTCATATGAAAACCTGTCAGTTATTTAGTGGAACTTGAGCTGCAGTGATTTCACAGAACTCAGGATGATTGGGAGGTTTCACCGCAGGAGATTAATGTCAGCTTAATTAGGATCTTTCTGAGTAAAGATATTTGTTTACACCTGAATTAAGAGCGTGAAGACGAGACTTGTCTTTGTCATTTGTCTAATGCTGAGTCTAACAGCACTGAAATAATAGATTGGATAAATATAGAATATTAAGGTAAACTGGAGTTTGTTTAGTTACCAGTAGAGGGCGCCAACTCCTAAGGTTTTAAAGGAATTATTCATACGTGAGCCTTTGTAGTGCTCATACTGGTATAAGAAGCTTTTTAGACATAAAAAACAACTTTCAGGGTTCCATCCTTGTGTAAGGAGTTTTGATTATGTAAGTTGTCTCTTTTTGTTTTATTTTGAAAGTACAATATTCAGGAAGGGTTTCTGTTTCTCACAACTTTGGAATCAATGCAGTAATCTAAGCAGGGTTATTTCTGTATGTTCATGTTTCTAAATCTGCCAAAAATAATCGAAATGACTACATTTTCTATTATTGTTTGTTTAACTTTTTTTTTAATGATTTATGTGGTTATAATTAGAAAAAAAATATGCTTCCCTAATTAAGTTTATTTTTATTTCATGTGATCCTTTATTTTAATTTTTATTATTCTTATTTTTAGTCATTATTTTTTTTCCTTTTTATTAACTCTTGTATGATTTTATTTTTCTTCAAAGTGATTCATTTGTTATGTGTAGATTAACTTTTTTTGTTTACTTTGTTGTTTTTTAAAATCTTTTTTTAGTTTTTCATGACCTACAACCAATTAATTGGGTTTTCAAATAAATATTTTTTTTTTACCAATGAAAAACAAAATACAGATTAAAGCTATCAAACCCTTTGAGTTAAGAATAGTCACCTTCAAAACTTACTCAATTATATAGCAAGCTAGGTGTCAACAGTGTGGTGCTACTAAGGGAAAAGTATGAGGGGACATGAGGTAATTGGTTGTCTGGAGGACGGGAGGCAGACAGGTGCAGAGATGCAGTTCACAGACACCTACGTCCTGCTGATGAAGATCTTGTCTGGAGAGCAGCTTCACAATCTGGGCTCTGCAGCGTGAGGTAGTTGGTTGTATGGTTTCGCATAATAAACAGCACGGAGATAACTGTACAACCTTCTAGCTTTCCCTGCGGAGTCACTCGTTACACCGACCGCAGTGACCCAGCAGAGAGGTAAGTATGTTTTCTTACTCTCCCCTATCCTCACTTTCCTGATGCTTCACATCTGTACTTCTTGGACTCCAACAGCTTTTATCCTCTCCAGGTTTAATAACGAGTCCTTCTAAAGTCTCCTCCCTGTGAGCTTGAATTAGATTATTTGGCTAGTTTCTGTATGTGTGGCAGCTGGATGTATTTGCTGCTGGTGTGCAGTAATCAGTGACTTCTACTGCTGCTGCAAAAAAAAAAAACAACAAATAAATGAGCATCGTTTTGACATTCAGACATGAGTTAAGTATATTTGTAAATGAGTTAGTCCAGAATGTACCCTGAGGACTTTTAAAAAGCAATTAATACAATCATAATGTTTTATCTGCTCTTCTCTCTCTTCATTTGATTGAACCATGGACTTTTATCCATCTTCAGCACCTCTGATCCTCTCAGTGTTCCTTCAGTGTTCCACCTGTGCCTGATTTAAATGTAGGTTCTTGATCTACATGATTCGTCTCCTGATGGAGGCCTCACTGTATAATCAGAACCAGGAACTAGTGTCACATTTGAACAAGCCATAATGTGAATAATAATAACGGGTTATAATAATAAAATAATGATGATGATAAAAACAATACTCATAAGGTTAAAAAAGTCCAAGCATTATTGAAATTCTACAGGTTATTTGTAGAAAACCTGGAACATCCCATAAAATATTTTTGTTAAAGTCACAATAGAGATTTTACCTGTGATAAATTAAGGTTTCTTTTTTTTTCTTACTTTCTTTTAAAGGTTCCTGGCAAACCTTGACCCCAAATACTGATTATTTTTTCTAGGTATGGGGAAAAAATGGGTTTTAATGATGCAGTTGTTTGTGGTCATTATCCAGAGTTTTTGCATTTAGGGAAATTTGTAGTTTTTGTTATAACTTGACTAGTTCACCACATACATAAAAAAGAGCCTCTAATGGTGGTACTCTAATTATTATTAGTGAACATTTTATTGCAGTCTATACATATTTATACAGTAATATTGAGATAATAATGCATTTGAGATATTCATGTAAGCATAGTCCCAGAAATAAAGCAAAAGCTCTTTGTATAGCAGCAGAAAATTACATGCATGTTAACTAATAGAATAATTTTTAAAAAGCAAGAACTCAGATTGTTCATAATTAAACAAAAAACAAACACAAATTTGCATTAAATATTTATGAAAACTGCAACAAAAAGTAAAGATATTTAGTAGAAGAAAACAAAATATTGAAGAAAAGTCTAGAAAGTTGATCTTATGTGTTGTGGAACAGATGATGTTGTTTGGCTTCATTTTCTTCCTCCTGGCAAACAACGAGTTAAGTGAATGTCAAAGGTGAGCAGCCATTAAACTGATCAAATGAATCAGGTCTGTTGATGAGAAGTGCTATTATTACTAAACTTATAAGTTAGCTTTATTAAGAATATTTGTGTTTTGTTTAAATGAACTTCTGTAAATAAGGGTTTGATCACTCAGTATACATCTTTAATGCAGTATATTCTCATTTCATCAAAAAAGATAAATGATGTTCTATGAGATTAATAGCACCACACATCCTATCAGGGAACTGTACAACAAAATCAGATCCAAATAATTTAAAAACTTAATTTTTTGACTATGTCTTACAGATTTCTTTAAACCTCTAAGCCTACAACACTTTTCAATATTTCAATTTGGCTTAAAGAATTTAATAATCAACATATTTTTATCTAGTCTTCCTACACTGTGCAGTGTCTCATTGTATATACTTGCAGTAAATGTGACGCCCCACTGTCTATAAGAGAAAACAGTTGTTATAAAATAGCATTAATAATTATTCACAAAGTTAACTTAATATTTATACAGAAAATTATTACAGAGTTAGACCATTTAAGATACAAGCCCAGATGTTTTGAAAATGTTTTGTGGTGTAATTTAGCTCATTGTGTTCGACCATGATGCCTGTTATTAAATTAGTAGGGAAAACAGGAACCTTGACAGCCTTAAAACATCACCCAAATTGTTAATAAGATGGCAGCCCCATGCTGTGCAGGCATTTGCAGCAGAAAGGACCAGTAAACCACAAAAGTGAATAAAAAAAGAAGTGCATATACCATAAAGATAAAGCTTAGGCACAAATAGGTCTTTTAGACTAATTATTTGTCCTAAAAAGTGAAAAAAGGCTGAGCTTGATTTAATGACAGACAACAAGACAACATTGTGTTGTGTATATATTTTATACTGGCTATGTAGATCTTTATCCTTAATGTGGCTTCCTTGATCATTAACATTTTCCCTTTATGATCAGACTCCCACTGCTCCTAGAAATAGCTAACATTTCATCTTAATAAACCACCATCGATCCCAAAACTTTCCACAACATGGTGGACTTTAGGTAATAGAAGGGAGATTGGATTTTTGAAATTCTGCTGACCAGTCACAGGTCCAGTCTAGTCAAGACTGAAGGTTTGATTCTGGTAGTTAATAGTATTCTGATTTTGCTTTCCTCTTTTAAACTGGGTGATTCTTCAAACTTCTATAATGCTTAAACATCAGAGAAGTGTGCCTTATTTAACGCAGACTTGTCATTTGCTCAAAAAGCTATACATTTTTTTATTTAAGTGAAAGCATTAATAGGCCATTAACTGGAGGTTGATATCAGAGAAATAATTGATTAGAAATATGATGACACACAATGTACTTAAACTAATGACCATAGATTTTATGACTCACAGCTGGCAAATATAGCTTAAAATTATAAGTCATAAATCATATGTGAATGATTTGGAGGTCAGTGCTTTGCTAAACACTACAGCAACTGTTAGAGAAGCTCTGTTTTCTCTACATTAAACATGCTACTTCTACTTTAATGTCATCATTTACACACTATTGCTCTATTTTCTTTTTACTACTTCACCACCTCATCTCAGCATGTCAGGCTGGTGCCTCGAACAGCAGCCATCTGCAGTGCATTACAGCTAGTTCTCCTCCCTGCGTGGAAGGGTGAAAAAAAGAGGGCATATATCTAAAATCTGCTGAGTCTGCACCGCTAGTTGTGGTGTTCTTTATTACCAGCACACAAGGCTATTCTCCTGCCAGAACAGACAGCTAAACATCAGGCAAGTGAAAAGGTCTCAGGGAGGAAAGCTTTATTGTTTTCTACTCGCTTCTTTGATGTGCTCGGCTTGTTTTGTTTTACAGATTGTGCATACTGCGTATATATGTGAGCAGATATCATGCAATCATCCTTTGAGAAGGATAAAAAAATGCCATTTAATAAAAAACGCCACCGTGTTTCTTCTAGGCGTCTGCTCACACAGACCTGGCAAACGGCAGTTCTTGCTATAGCAATTGACAGAAACAGGTGTGATGATGAGCAGCAGAGTAACAATATTAAGCACTGTGCAGAACCTCCTGGGATGCAACAGCGAACTGGAGCATCCCAGTCCTGAGACAGATGAGGCAGACACCCTCCCAGACTGGTGATGTCATCCCCGTGGAGAACCTCCAGTGCTTTGTCTCTCAGCAGTACTGCAGAGTACAGCCACAGGCACACACACACTCACTCACACACCTGTCTGTGACATTCGGCTTTTGTCACTCAGGTTCGAAGGCTGCTTGAGCCAAAGAGTACTGCTTTTTTCCCTCAGCCTTGCAGCAAAATGGCGCCCCAGATATCACGCATCTTGGAGAGAGGTGCTCCATTGTGACCAGGAGGACCAGTAACAACTGCACACTCCAGTCTGCAAACAACACAAATCGCATATATGTGCTGTAAACATGCAGGAGTTTGTCTTGTGGCAACAAAGCAGGAGCAAACAAAAGGATATGTGCATCAGGAGCTCATGCAGAGGAGAACACTCAAAGCACACCAGCAGATACTGTAAACACATTCAGGTTGTTATTTCCTATGCAAATTGGAGTGCCATGGTTTTACAGTATGACTGTAGAGATGAAGATGCTCCTCAAAGGCTTTTGTTGCATCAGAGTGTTGAAAAAGACAACTGTTCATAGCAGGATCAAAGCGTAAAATGCTGCCTAGGTAAAAAAAATGCTAGGATACAGACAGTGGATGTATTATGATTATTCGGTAGGTATAGCATTATCAAGCTTTTCCATAATCCAACAGAACCCCTGACAGATTTCTGTGGTAAACAGAGCTTTGCAAAGGCATTTTTATCCCATGGGTTTATCCACATTTTGTCACAACCAAGAACTTTATTTTAATGTGCTGGACCATAAATAGCTGATAATTGGGAAAGTAAATGAAATAATCCATGGTTTTATGATATTTTTTGTTGTTTAGACACCTAATGTGAATATGTGTCTTTGCAGTTGATGCCTTGACTGAGCACTTTGTTGAACCAGAAATGTTGCAGTGATGTTGCAGTTTTTTGAGGTATGTCTGTATTTCTTTTCACAAAAACAGTACGATTCTTGCTCTGTGTTCTACATATTCTCACCACAAGTTTTCAGTTGGACTTAAGTTTGGGCTTTGACGTACCCATTCTAGCAGACAAACAGGCTTTTATTATCATAATTTAGGTGCAGCTCTGACTCAGTTTCCTTGGAAGTGACCAATCTAATGTATTCTGCTTCTGTCTCCTTGAAACTTGAGCAGATTGCCGCTCACACTGAGCCTGGCTCTGCTGGAGGTTTCTCCCTGTTAAAAAGAGTTTTTTCTCTCTACTGTCGCTACAAACATGCTTGGTGTGAGGGATTGCCTTCAAGTCAATGAGTCGATGCTATCAGCTGGTTTTCCTTAGATAAAAAACGTAGAACCAATCTGACTGTATGATCTGATTGTCTCTGTGAAGTGCCTTGAGATGTCATCTGTTGTGAATTGGAGCTATATAAATAAACTGAATGGAAACTGAATAGATCTTCCATCAGGATCGCCTTAAGGTCTGTCTATATTCCTAGCTTCTCATTTCCTTTTTCCAGAAAATTCCCCTGATAGCATGATGCCATCAACCCCTTATGTTAAGGTGGGGATGCTGTGTTTGATGTTAACTTTCTTCCACACAGTCTTTTACATATTTGATAAAAAGTTCCGTGTTTGTCTTTTACCAGAGAACCTTTGTCCAAATATTTACTGTTACCTGTAGAGGAGTTGCAGCAAACTTTAAATAGGAGATCTAATGGCTTTCTATTAACGATAGCTAGGGCCACATGAGCTTTAGATTTCTACAGTTTACCCACAGTGAACATCACGACTTCTCTGATTTGTGCAGTCCATGTGTTCAGGTGTTCAGACAAGCTCTGGTAGATCTGCAGTTGTTCTGTACTATTTCCAAAGCTTTTTATTTTGTTAGCTAACCCTTTAAACTTCTCCACCATTTCATCCTGCTGCGCTCTTTGATCTTGATGCTGTTTGTTCACTTATGTCTGTTCATTATACTATTGTGCAGCTTATGTTGGTCTATCCCATTTTAAACCCAGTGGTCTGATAAAGTTAACGGTTACTACATGACAAGATCATTATCTTTGTTTGAACTTGTCTTAAAGCTCTTAAAGTCTGTCAAAAAATATTTAAGTATATCATCCCCTTATATTGTTATAATCTATGGGAGTTACATTATTAAGCATGGATAATCTAACTAATTTTATACCCTCCTTAATTGCCTTTGTTAGCTTGAGTGTTAGCAGCTCTCCATCACGTCACAGGTTATACCTTCTCCTGTTTCAAGAAAAAGGCTTCACCAGTTCCTACTATTTTCTTGTATCAGACGACGGCAGTGTGTTCGATCATACAACACGGTCTGAACACTTCAGGGCCGTAATGACGCTTAGCCATCAGCTGTAGTGTTTACGCTCCAGCTCGCTCAACAGACAGCCAATCACTGGCACCAAATTAGATTTCCTTTCATTTCTGAATCCCCCCTTGGGGCTGTATGATTCTGTTATCCAGCAAACACAAGCACGGCTCTCCGTCCTCGCTGATATTGCAGTCATACCGCCTTTGGACATGGGCGCAGATCGAGCAGCAAGTATTGAAACATTAAAAATGCAAACAAAAAAAAAGTGTTGCAACTCCTTTGTAGGTGTGTGCAACACAAAGAAAGGCTGTAAAGTTGCAGGGTTGGTTAAAAAGTCACAGGCTTCTGAGCAGAATTTATTGTATTTTGTCTCGCCCCTGATGACTAGCGGCGTGATTAAGACACATTTTCTAATTGGCAAAGCTTCCAGTGATGGGTTTATTTAATGTGTTTGATGTCACTCCAGCTGCAATTTGCGGCGGCACTGGAGCTGCACCATAAATCCCATGATCAATTTGTTGACGGTGTGATTGGTGTACACATGGAAAGGAGGCAGTAATGTCAGCCTCTCAGGTTCATGAGACTCCCAGGCTTCATATTTTCTCTCAATTCACATCCTATTAGAGATTCTGACCCTCCCCCTCCATCCTCACTCGGTGCTGTAGCTGCTCCTCTCACCCCCCCCCCCATCCTCCCCTCCTCCCCCCTCTTTACACACACATCTCCCCTCTTTCCTACTTGCACACTTGCAAGCGCACACACATGCACTCGCTGCACTCTCTCTTTCCATCTCCCGCACTTTTACAAACACAGCTCACAGACTGGAGCGTATCTGTCTGTGTGTGTGCCTTCTTGGGCGGGGGGCGGTGGGGGTACTTGGGTTGCAGAGACACGAGGGAGGAAAAAAAGAGGGGAAATGAGAGGATGGTGACTAGAGAGTGAAAAAGAGAGAGAGATTTGAAGGCACATGGGTGCTTTCATGAGCACACAACTGAGTGAGCCCCCCCAGCCCATCCTCTTTCCTTCTTTTAATTTTTCTCCCATTTGCAGGAAAGCACGTTTGGTGACAACAGCCCTGCAGACACAAAAGGTGAAGCGCCACGAAGACATTGTCAGGTAGGTAGAGAGCAGAATAATGGAATCAAAACTATTGTCTGCAACCTACCTGCTGCTGGGCTCCCTGTCTGGCCCCGACAGAGACCATCAAGCGGAGAGAGAAAGAGAGAGAGAGAGACGAGAAGGGGAGGGAGCTGAGAGGAGAAACAGAATCACTCTGGCTGTGAGAGAAAGGAAAGGAAGAGGCTGACTCTGAGGTGAATACTTGTTTTATTTGCTTTCTCATTAAGAAGGATAATGCAGATAATTGGAACATTTTTTTTTTTTTATCTGCAACTTTTTTTCTCACTGCTAATGCATGTAAAGCCACTGACAGTAATCTAACAAGTAATTTGATTCAATATGCATGAAATTACTAAATTCTGTAAGCAATTGTTTGCAATTCACTTGTTGTCAGTAATTATAGTGTCCAAGCTGCAGTTGGTCTGTTTAAAGCTAACTTTGCACCTTTTCTTCCAAAAGAAATGACTGCGTAATATAATAGAATAGATTTGATGTTTCAGTATTGGCAGATGTTACGGTTCGATATGTATTCTGTTCATTCATCATTGCAGAAACGATGAGTATCTGCAAGTTGATCTTTGCACTTTCAATTTTTTTTATTTTTTATTGTTTGATAAAATTTATTGTAAATATTTAAAAAGAAAGTAAATGCACCATCAGGGCAGTTGTGACAAATGCCTTCTATCCCCTGTGGTGTGCTCCATGCAGCTGCTGTGCTGCACACATGCAACATTAACAAAGGAAGCCCTTCAAAATCCCACCTATGCATTCCCAAATCTTGGCCTGCAAGCTTATGAACTACAGCTGTTTCATAAAGCATGGAAGTCATGTTCAGTAGTTTGATTTGATGTAGAATATGATGTAGAATATATAAACTGTTGCAGTTAACTTCTCCTCATGTGTTGTGTAAAGTGAAAAATAAATAAAATAAAATAAAATAAAACATGGTTACTTGATGGATTTAGCATGTAAAGTAATGGTTTCGCTCATAACCCCCCCACTCCCCAACGCCTTTGAACATATGCAGTCTTCAGCAGTCTGTCCATGTGCTTCCGTCTGTCTGCCAGTGGGTGGCATCATCTTCAAATGTTTCTACGCCATCCGTTATTTCTTTCATCAATGGAAACTAATGCAATGGTTTTACTACACCATAAGAAATCACTGAGATATTCCCTTTTTTGTTATTTGTTTTCCAAATAAAAAGTCCCCAACTTTTTAATTCAGTTAATGGTTTAGCAGCTGCAATTTGAAGCATCATGAAAAATGCAACATGCAGTGCCTTCTATAGCTTTCATTAAAACAAATATATTTTCAATGTATATATATATATAAAAACACTTGACATGTTTCCGCAGATATTATATAGTAGGTGACAAGTGTAAAGGTTCATTAAAGTTTAAAATGAGGCTAGTTTTGCATCTTTGAAAAATGTACTTTTCAGTTGTGATTTATTATATCAGATTGTATCTTTGCCTGTTCTTTATTTGATGTCTTTTACATTTAAGCAACTTCCTGGACTAAGAAAACCTATTAAACTGTGAATTTGCGTAATAAATCATGCTCCAGATGTTCATTATATTTACCAACATTTTAAAGATAATGTTTCTATTCGATTAATGCCTTTGTTGTGAATTTAATTGATTCATTAAAGAGATTGTCACCCTGCTTTGAAAAATGGTCTTCACGTCTGATTTGCTGCAATGCAAAACAAATGATTAGTGTGGAAGGGTTAATGTTGGTGTTTATGCAGCAGCTTTAATTGGACCATTTCGGGTTAATTTCTGATCCGCACGAAGCAGGAGACCAGGCCGGTGCTGCAGCAGAATCCAAATGTCAGATGAGGTCATGTCTTTGTCTCAGTGCTGCGGCTCTGCGGGTATTTCCATTAAGATCTTTGATTTTGTCTCTGTTTTTTCTTTTTTTTTCCCACACTAAGCAGCTGTATTTTAAAACCTCTTGGGTTTTTTTTTAATTCATTTTACAGTATGCCCCTCTGTCCCTGAGACCCTTAACCTGTGAGGTTAAAGCAGGTCACAGGTGAGGTCCTCGGGAACAGGGCTGCATTCAGTTTCAGCGTTTTGCAAAATGTAGAAATATTTAACACTTAAATCATATTTCCTCTCCTCCATGAAAAGTCATCTGTTTTAGCCAAAAGGAAGGATCAAACAGTGCAGTATCACCACGGGTCCAATCAGCAGATTGTTTCGAAGTTTATCATGCTACTATCAAGAGTCTTTCGACTGTGCAAGATGAGGAAGACTACATTTTCTTCAGCCTCAGACGCTCACAGGGGGCCAACCTATTGGCTGCCTTTGTGTTATGGCCTCTGATTGGGGGCCAATGGGAAGACAGCCGAGGGTTGTGACCCCGTCCATATATTTCAACTTTGGAGATGAAGCTCAAGTTTTCTTCAGTCTTAAGAATGGTTACATTTTTTTCTATGCTAATAAATCTCAAATAAAGTTGTTGTTTTTTTTTTGCGTACATGTGTGCCTATGAATTATTTAAACATCTCCCTTTAAAAAAGAGCTTTAAAATTGTCAACATGTAAATGATATGAAATGGATCACTGCCCACTTCTGTAGTCTAAATGCATCATCAAATTTAATCTACAATAGATCTCCAAAGTGTACAAAAATCATGATAAAATAGTAAGTATATATTAAGTTAAAAAACTTTGATAAATATTCTGATGTAAAATAACATTTTGTTGAAGCACGTTTTGATTTCATTTCTACTTTTAGCCTTCTTTGGGAGCAGAGCAGTGTTCCACTTCTCCAATATTTCTCCACAATCTAGCTTTAAAGTTCTCCACTTTTATCCGAGCTAAAGACCTTTTCAGTTGAACTCTATCAAAGGGATTTTTTACTGTCACTAATATATTTTTTCTATTGACTATCCTATTTTTAATCCAAAGGGTTGGGGTCAGAACTCATGATTTAAGAAAGTTTGAATAGAAGAAACTCACATCAGATTCTGCCACCACTATATTTCATTGTAGCTGTGTTTTCCTGGCAAAGCTCGATGTGTGTTTTTTTGTCAAATTTGGACCTTTTAAATCTTTTCTTCAGAAAAGATCTTTTTATTTCATAGTTTTCCTTACACTGGAACGGTGGTCTTAAACTCTAGTCCTCAGGGGTTGGTGTACTGTAACTTATGGAGGTGTCCTTCAACACATCCTACTGACATATAGCTCATTAGCAGAGCTCTGTAGAACCAGACTGCATGCTAATGAGACAGTGCAGCCAATTGATTCAAATGTGTAGGGCAAGGAAAACACTGAAAGTTGCAGAACATCAACCCAGGAAGATTAAAGTTTGACACCACTGGTGTAGACATATAGAAAACCCACAACTTTACACATCCAGAGGATGTATATTTGCTGTCTTGACTCTGCTATGGGAGGAGCAGTACTGCTTCCATCAAAAAAATTATCCAATAAATTCGTTAAAATTAGGAAAATTAGAAACCAATCAACTTTTGTATCGATTGAATGAGAGGAATTAGCTAAATGTCAGATAAACTCACACAAATGCACTCCAGTTTATTTGGGGGTTTCTGTGTTCAGCCATCTGACTAACAATCAGACTTTGGCGGTCCTGGAGAACACTCTTGCTTGTTATTGATTGGCCTGTCTGTGCTGAGACAGATGAATGCATTAGTACCCAGCTCACCCCGCCACTGGAAATATATTAAGTTCATGTATTAGGCACCCTGTCTGGTTACCATGGAGATGCACTAGGAGGAGGTATTGGGGAAAAGGATGGGGGGTGTGGAGGGATAAGGACGCAAGTGGGGGATACAGGCAGCGATGAGGTAGTGGAGTTGATTTGTAGTCCTACTCCCTCTTCGTTTATTTCTGTCTGTCACTCGTCTGATCTGACTACCACCCCCACTCTGCTGTTTGTTTCATCACTTTCTTCTCTCTTTAACACCGTCTGAACTTTAACATGAAGAATATGTTATTTTCATCTCTCCCATTAATTTTCTTTATCTTTTGTTCTTCTTTCTCCTCCAGCTGGGCCTGACTGTTCATCTGTCACTTTCCATAAATCTGGACATAAATTAAAATTCAAATATTTTCTCTGATTTTTCTCGCTGATACCCTTCTCACTTTTTCTTGACACGTACGTGAGCGTTCAACTCCCTTTTTATCTGCCCCTCTCCTCCTCATCTGCGCCACCTCCCTCCTCAGCTCACGCCATCTCTGTGCTCTGCAGTAAAACTGGTGCATTGAGGCAGCAGGAAATGGGGACTAGAAACAATAGAATGGAGAGAAGAACAGAAGGTTCTGTCTGCAAATGTCTGCAACCAGAAAAATTAGAATGCTGTCCCGTTTTGTCACCATGGAACCCAGGTTTGAATAAAAACAAACATTTAGTTACATTTTGAGCTCCAATTGAAAATGTGCAGGGCTATTGTGTGGCTGGCAAGTGTTTGTTTGCTGATTTGCCCCTCTTTGAGCTGCTATGACTGCTTCATCGACGTCGAGGAGAGTCTTCGGCTGTGCTGGGGTCACGTTCTGACAAACACCAACGTCAGAAACATGGACGAATGCTTCAGGAAGCTGGACCGCATATTTAACACCAACCAGACAGTGATAGAGGCTGGGAGAGTGGGTATGGGACATACTCTCTATATCATTAATTTCCACCAAAGCAATGCTGTGATGTGTGTCCCTGTCCAGGTGAAGGCTTCGACATCAAGCTGAAGGAGATCCTAGAGGCAGAGATTTTGCCCATAGTGGAGGAGTTTGACCAAAACCTGAATATGGGTAAATAAAACACCTGCTCCAGCAGACAGTAAATGAGTTAAGGTCCAGAAATGGCACATTTCAGAAATGATGCCCTAAAGCATCCAATTCACCTAGATGTTTTCAGCCAAATATCCTCCTCCATCTATCAGACACTGTGTACGAGAGGAGGTTGCAGACAGCAGCAGACAATTTCATTGCAGCTGCCTCCAAACTGCCTAGAGGTGAGACATGGTCTCTTACACGTTTCCTTCATCTTTTCATCTGAAATTCACACCAGATCATCACCACTCCCTCTCTGATCTCTTTAATCTCTCTGTGATAATCTACTTACGTAATTACAGCTTTTAAATAATGTTGAAAGCAGTGCTGCACACGCATTAAGTCAAATTGTAAAATGTTTCGTTCTTTCCACAGTTTCTGGCTGCTTTCCTCCATGTGGTGAGTGCATCCTTCATTCTTTTGTCTCTTTAATGAACTCAACCTGGTAAATAAAATCCTTCCCCTACTTTAGAGGCATGCAGTGTCTTTTAAAATCATTTATATACCTCGGGCATTTTCACCTTCTGTTGCATGACAGCCGTAAACTTCATGATTTGTTAGTAGTTTTACAACAAAATAGAACAAAGTAGAAGATAATTACATTTAAAAAAATAGAGATAATGTGCTGTTTTTAAACAAACAAACAGAATATAACCTTTCTGGTGAGCTCATGATGAACCATGAGCTCACCAGACAAGGTCAAGGATAACATTTTGGAGACGTTTAGAGCAAAGTTGGGCTGTAAAATATATCCCATCTAATACTCCCTGCATACTAGGGATGGGCGTTTATCGCATCGTTAAACGGTGTTGTAATACATTTCTAGCCATGATTATAATGTAGATTTATGGTCTAAATCATAAATCAGATTTAGTGATGACAGAAAAGGGTGAATTGTGAATTAGATTTTGTCATGTTTTTCCTCTTTCTTCTATCTGGGGATTGGCAAAGTCAAAGAATATGGTTAAAGGCCGTTACTGAGGGGTGTTTGGTAAAATAAATTACACTTCTTTATGTAGCTGGTTGCCTGAAAAAATTGATTAAAATTTTTCTATTTTTTCCAATGTTGGCTTTGGCATGCATCTATAGCTACAGATAAGCAGTTACCAAAGAACGACTTCAAAGAACCGATTAAGAGTGTTTTTATCATCAAGCTTATCGTTATCAGAATATTGCCACTAAATATTGTGATAAGATTAAGACCGTATGTTCCAGCTCTACTACATGCTGTTCAATGCATTATCTGAAAATGGAAAGAATGACACAGCTGCCAGCCTACAGAGACTTAAAGTAGAATCTTCCACCACCGACGACTGCCCACAATCCTTTGCATGACAGGTTGTCTAGGCACAGACCACCTCTTGAAGTTTAACAAGATTAAATTATTTATTCACGTGAACTCTTTCTAACCCAATGCAAAGGTAGAGCTTCAGGTGTCAGTTTTACTTTGGGGTATCTTTTATTTTTTGTATTTCTTTTCTGGAACCCTCTATTCCCAATTTGACAATCATGATCTATGCGTGTGTCATTCAGATTTAGCACATAAGTCCAGAGTTCCTTTCCTACCCTGGAGATTGTTCTTACTGTTGACCCAAGGAAAAGTAAAGGGACAGCAGCTACACTAGGAGCAGGAAGTAGGACACAAAAGATAGTATTCGGGATCAGCTGCTTTTTTAAGCAGGTGTTGGCAGAGCTAGGTGTTGGTCTCCTCAGCCAATCAGCAGATTATTAGTTGTTCCTGCATAGACATAATTCACCACCTTTTATCCAAGCAGTTCCCCTCTGACACAGAGGATGGCGGCAGTGATACTCCTAATTGTTAGTATAATAACCATAATCCCAGAAAAAAAATAGAGTGATTTATTATTCACATTAACATACTAACATATTGATGATGACATAGATGACAATCACAGAATTTATGCTTTTTTTTATTCTAGAAAATTGTTATTGTATTATCAGACATGGATAAAAGTAATGTCTTCAAGTTAAGTAGGAGTCTTCTATATCATAAGAGACAAAAAAAACATTAAAATCTAACCTGTCTTCAGTGATTTATTCAGTGATTTCTTTTGAAAATACAGACATTATGCTTGCTCATTTTCCTGTGAGTACTGTGTGTTTAGTATATGTTGACCCATTGCCTTCTTCAGCACACATTGTTCCTTTCCTGGTCACCCTGTGAACATTTCTTTGCTCCACCTCTACACACACCATTTTATTTTCTTTTTCACACATTTTATATTCTTTAGTTTAAATAACTGTCCAATGCAAATCTGATAGTGATCAAGAGGTTCATAAATGTTTACAAAAAAAATATATATATATTTGATGTTTTCTAGATATGATTAAATTGTTTCACGCTAACTGTGAGCTTTAGACTAGCTGGATTTATCCTAAATAAAGACGTCAAGAGATTTATCTCTTCAGCCTTAATACCTTTTTAATGAAACCTCACTTTAGAAATCTAGAACCATACCTTTAATGCTGGTTTTATGCTCCCATTAGGTTTCCAGAATGCAGGTGCTGTGTACAACTGCATCACCTGCCAATACGACTCCTGTGAATTCCCACTCGACTGTCCAGGTGAGCACATCATTTTACAGGCGACCGATTTTGTTACATCACAGCTAAAGAAGATGTGCTAATCCACACTTGACAGGCCTTATATTCCCCTCATAAGTCCTGATCCCCGAAATGCTCCGTGTTTGATCCTTCAAATGCTCTCAGCAAAAAAAAAAAGAAAAAAAGTCAGGATTTGAAAATGAGACGGTGGAAAGGTTTTATTTCCATACATTATATCTTTTTGCGCAGAGCCCTCAAGGTTCGCTTTAAGTCGATGACTTCTTTATATGGGGTGACAGCTGACTCCCACACACCGTGGTGTTCATATCACCCCTGTACAGCTCAGCCGATGTTTAGCATATCATCACTTTTGCTGCACTCCTCAGAGACTAGGCTTAAGTATTATCATTAAGGAAGGCTCAGACTGCAAGCGCTGCCTTCTCTGAATCTTATCTGTGTGCGTGCGTCTGTCTGTGTGCATGTGGGCGGCTGTATGTTTATTTCAGTTGAAGAAATTGAAGTAATGGAGAACCACAAGGCCCAAATGTGGTGTGATGTGGCATTTGACCTACCAAGTGATATTGAGGTGATCTGGAGGTTTGCAGAAGAGGTATGTTAAAAATATAACAGACTGTGAAGTTCAATAGATGTGCTTTGGAAAGATTAGCTAAACATCTTTTTTGGGATCATGTACTATAATCATAAATAATTCATACTATCAGCTTTTTGTCCAAAATAGTATACTAAGGATTCCAAGAGACAGCAACAAAATACTCTGAAACATGTATATAAATTAATGTGTTAGAACTTTTTTGGATAGGATTTACTTCTTAAAATGTGAAGCAAACTTAAAAGTTACAAAATCCACCAGAAGGGGGAAAAAAAAAAAACTATTCAAAATGTGAAATCAGAAGAAATAAATGCCATATTACTACAAAGGATTACAACAAGTTTAATGTGACTTATTTACAAAACACAATAGTGAGCTCAAAATAATTTATAACCGAGGCAGATTTAAAGATAATTAGTCTTTGTTCTGATTTGTTATAATATCACATTTTTGGTACAAGCCAGCTGCAGCCCTGAATTGAATCTAGCAGACCTTCTGTCGAGGACATAATAATTAGGGTAATGGCGGGGAGGCCTTCTATATCTGAAGTCTTGAAGCTGATCAAATCTACCAGGGGAATATGTTTAGAAATTATAAGCAGTGGATGATAGCTACATAACCAGTGAAGATTTTTCCTTTATGAGGAAATCTTTTCATCAATACATCTGTAACTTTGTTTATCTTGTTTTAGATGTCTCATAGTTATTTCAAATCCAAATCTGCAAAGGATGTAAATAATAATGATAACAATACATATGAGCTTTTTAAAAGGAATACACTATTCATAGATCTAACTACAATATAACAAATAAAAATAATCTATCAAAAGCAACAGTTTATGTGAATTATAAAGATTTTACAAAGATAGCTTATAAAAATAATTTCAAAGCAGTTTTCATGACAAACATATGAATAAGAAAAATTATCAAGAAAAGACATGGAGACAAGCAGAAGCACAAGTCAACCAAACACTAAAAGTGATAAAAACAATAAACCCTCCAAAAAAAAAAAAAAGAGACAGTGGACAGAAGTTTTTTATTATTCTATTTATATCTTTTGTTGTGCTTATCCTGTGTTCTCCTTACTGAATCACAAATGTGGGGAGAGAGTTTTTATCCATACTGGGCCTGAAACGAATAGTTAATATTAGCCACTCCCAATAAGAAAAACTTCACTTCCATATCTTATTAGATATTAACTCAAAGGTAAAACTGAATTATCTTAACATGGCAAGCTGAAAATGCAATTTGGAAGAAAAGGACTTTTCCCATTTTATTTGTTTAGTCACTTTGAACTTCAGTTCTCTCAGCATTATCCTTTATTTTCCAAAAAGAAATCTGCTGCTGCATCTTTCTTTGCAGAAGCAACTCCTGTTGATAAAGTGGTCAACATTTTCTTCCTTTGCAGATCAAAACACAGGAAATGGACCAGTTTATAGAGGTGACTGCAGGTGTAGACAGACTTTACTCCATTCCATCAACTAGCCTGCAGCATCAGGGCACCTACCAGTGTGAGATTTACTCAGGCAGTCGCTCTATTGTCAGGATCTACTTCTACATTACAGGTAACCACCTCACCACAGCTGCCACTTTTCAAGAAACAGAATAGAAACTTATGACGCTTATGTTAAACTTAGACGTTTATGTTAACTGTGGCTGGGGACAGTTTGGTAAAACAATATAGACTCAGTCCCAATACCTTTATCATGTAAAATTTGAAAAAAGCTTGAAATAAAAAAATAGAAAAAACTTAAAATTGAATAAGGTTTCCTGAAGTTTGAAATCTTTTCTTAAAATTCCCTCAAAGTCTAAATGATCAATAGTGTTTCAGGTTTTCTGACCGTGTTTAAAATTCCATCTTGGACTTTAGGCAGCAGTCTCTGCTTATAGTTGATCATCCGTGATTTCAATTATACTTAGCTAGCACATTTTTCCTTCAGTTCTTACATTTTATTTAAATCAGAATTTACCAAAATAAACAAGAACACATTATGTATATGTAATAATCTTCTATCTAATGTGTTAATATAAATTTCTTTTTTTTTTTTTGCTAAGTTGACTATTGTGTAACAATTAAACATCCTTTATTCTGAAGCATTTTCTATGTATGGACGTTTTGTTTAATAAACCAGAAAACAGTTTTCGAAAAACAATTAGGTATGGAAAATAATTTAACAATATTTAGAAACATGTTTTATGAAAATTCTGAAGGCACAAACATCAGAAGCATGGGGGGGGGGGGGGGGGGGCGTTTAGACTCAAGACTTTTTACTAATATTGTACATGAATATATAAAACATGTTAAATACAACTTTTGAAAAAGAAATGATGATCAGCTCTGCAAAAGTAAACAGATATTTAGTAATTGGACGTTTTACCTGAACATAACCACAGATGTCAAAGGATGTTATTGGGATTTTATTGACCAGGTGACACAAAGTGTAGTAAGCTGGAAGAAAAACCAAACATAGGTTTTCTTTTTCTTTACCTGTAAAGTATTTTGGTGTATCTTTCTAAAATCTTTGCAGAACAAGTAACTGAAAAAACTCAACCCCAGAAAGAATGCATGTGAACTACAATGTTCAATTCTTCTCATAGATTTTGCATTGGATTTCCATTGTGGCTCTAGGCCTATTTTGGGGTTGTTGTTGTTTTAGCTTGCTTCAACTGATTTACAGCCTCTAAAAAGTTTTCTTCTAGAAATGTCTTCCATCTATCTACTTCTCAGTGCTGCAAAGCTTGTCTTTCCCTGCCTGCATATAAATACATTCCAACAGCGCAATGATATTTTCTCTTAAATATGCAGAGATGGACACTGACCTTTGTGACTGTAATATGACAAATTGTGGGAATATTTTGGGTGTGTGAATACTTTTGCCGTAACAGCTGCTATAACATTATTTTGCTACTCTAACACTCCTGTAAGTGTTTTTTACTGTATCATTTTCTTCTCTCTGTGTCTTTAAGTGACCCCCCAGCTTGTGGCAGGCCACACAGAGCTGCAGGAGATATTTGACCTGTCTCTGCTCCCAGGAGGGCAGTTACTCACTGCGCCTGGTGCTGCTCCGCGCTCCTTTCTCCCCCTCCTCCTCGTTCTTCTCACCACCTGTTTAACCACTTCACTGCTGCTGCTGTTCCTCACCCTGGGGTGAATAAAGATTTTTTATTTTCACACAGAATAGCTTTTTTTTGTAATGTTTTATAACCAGAGCATGCATTTTTTTTTCTTGTATTTTATATTGCATTTTTGTCATTGGCTGTTTCAGGGTACTGTACTGGTCTTCATCAGAGGAAGACCATAATGAGGGAGATGCAGATGACGATGATCACTTTGAATTTGAAATGTCATAGGTATGAAAAGCATAAAGAAATGAATCAACTGTAATAAGAATGAACAAAAATGTCAGGATACTCACTAAAGGCATTATGTCTTTCATAAATGTGAACATATATGTTAAACTCTTCTCTCCACTAGAGGTCAGGGTAGACCTTTTTATTCAACATTTAAACAAATTGACACAAAGCATATGTACATATGACAGCAACTCATGAAGAACCTGTACCTGTTTAGGCAAATTATTTCTTGCATACGGCCCAATGTTCTCATAGAGAGCTTTGAACAAGCAATAAGGATCAAGTGAACACTGCTAGGTGGGTTTAAACCTGATCTGTCTGACAGGTTTCAATATGTTTTGTCATTAATATACTCCACGGTCAGTGGTGGAGTACCACCTGGCTCAGTGCTTCTGTAAGTATGTGTATCATGTTTTTTTTTTTTTTTTTTGTACCATTTTGTTATTCTTAAAAGGTTTAACACATTTTAGCTTTAATACATTAAAGAGAGCTTGGCAAGTTCCATGCTACAAAATCCCTTATATACCTCTCATTCACTTACAGGTTTTGACTGGAAGAAAAGAAAAGGCCCAGATTTGTGTTGGAGCCATTAAAGAACTCTTCTTCTATATGTTAAAGTTTATTTTATTTTTTTTCTTAACTTTGGTTGTCTGAATCCTGCCTCCTTCCAGACAAGTTTTTTTTTTTTTTTTTACATTTCTCTCCTGATGAAAGAAACTTAGTTAAAAATATAATTTCTCCAAAAGGTAGATTTACATATTTGGATCTCTAAAACATGAAGCGTATGCTGAACTGACAGAAGAATTCATGTCAGTGTGTAATACAGTTGACAAATCAAAGTGTATGATGGTTCAACATCATAGCTGTTAGTTTTAGCCAATCTCATAATGTCTATTGACTGACTGGACAGAGCAATGTAAGCCTTCTTCTTCCATCTTAGCTATTAACATTACTTTTATTGACTGCTTTCATTTAGGCTTGATATCTATTAAGTCCTATAGTTATGGAGAAGAAAGAAATTGATTCATGGGCTCAACCGTTTGAGTTATACATTGCTTGAACAAATTCACTATCCTTTATGTGGTCCACATCAGGAAGAAGGAGTGTCAGAATAATAATCGTAATGATCAGAACAGATGGACCCAGAAAACAAACCAAACAACCAGTTCGAAAGTTTCACACAGTTTTTTGAAAGGAAACTGCTGCACGTAGTGTCAGCGACTAGGGCAGGAACCTCTGGAAATGGAGACAGAAAGTTTGTGACCAGGTTAGCTTTACGGTGTGCATCAATCACAAACGTAATGGTCACTAACAGAGCAGAGGGTCAGAACCGTGAAGACAATAGTAGGCTGGAAGAACAGGAGGACAAACCAGAATCCGTATTATAGGTTGAAGTCCAGGGTCAGAGTCGGGAGATCAGAGGTCCAATGAAGCACCAGAGGGAAATCCAGGACGAGGTTGAGAAACAGCCCCAGGTTAGGCAACGGGCAGGCAGACAAACTGATCAGGGTCAAGAAGAATAAGCAGGCAGTCAGGTCAGACAGGGATCAGGTCAGGCAAACAGGCAGGAAGTCAGGAATCAGAATGCTGAAATAGATCTCACCAATGGCTCGAAATAATCTGGCACTGATGTTTGGTCTGAAGGCTGGTTATATACTGATAGGTGCAGGTAGATCATGGTGATGAGAGGGTTTTTTCTTTTTATCAGGGTACCCAATTAGGCTGGTCAGTTATGGTTGGACAAACGATGGAGCTAAATAAAGAACATTTCTGGAAAAAAAGCATTTCAGGATGCAAGCGACATGAGACTGTGAGGTTCATCTTCTTAATGTTTGGTTGTGAATGTGTTTTGCCATGCAAAGATATCTGTGTTTAGTTTCCTGAATAATCCACATTTTCTGTTTTATTTCTAGGCATAAGAAATATGAAAGAAATTAGCTTGAATAACCATTGCAAACTCAACTTCCTACAGCAAATTTATTTATTGTAACCCATAATATGTGATCACATTTGTAATGCAATATGTGATATAGAGTTCTTATCAGAAAAAGATTAAGTGGAGGATAAATGCATAAAAAACAAGAAACTGTGCATTAAATTATTAATTGATACCCAGTCAGGATAGGAGGCAACCATTTTACCCAGAACAGAGGATGACCTGAATTACTTTCTTAAAACCTGGATGAAGTTTTTATTTGAAAATGTTCTGATTTAAACTTAATTACCATAGATCTTTTACATAGAATGAGATTTAGATTCTGTGCAGAATTTATGACAGTTCCCTTATAACCACCAGAGGGCAGACAAATACAGCCAGATTTTCACCTCAATGGGCAGATACTTTAGATTAACATCAGCATCAATCTGGACTTTTCCTTGAACTTTGTTTTTTGGTTACATAGAAGTTGTGACCCTCAAATGATGTGGTTGCTAAAGGCAACACCATAAAACAAAAAAATCTTAAAAGGAGAACCAAGTGCATAACCAGTTATTTCGTCAATGAAATGTGACAAGGCAGAAATCTAGAGCATAGGCCAAGTAACGAAGTATAATTATGTCATCACAGTACTTAAATTGGTTTTTGGATTTTTTTTTTTTTTTTTTGTTCTTTTGGTATATGTACCTTACCGTAGAATTTATTCTTAGGAGGACTTGTCACTTTTATTCACTACCTTTAAATACAAATAACTTTATTTTCAACTCTTCAATTTCTCAAACAGATTAAGTAAGGAGGAGCTGCAACAAAATGTCAAAAGTCAAATGGCCATAAAGAATCTGTCCAGTAAAAGCTTAGTTTGTTTATAAAAAACAGTAATTGTAAAAACATTGCAGATGCATGATCCGATTCTGAGACGCTAGACATTCCGGCTTTATTAGATCTTCAATTTAAAGTTAAGAATGTTTCAAGTTCTATTTCAATTTTAATGCTATTTGCAATAATGCTGTAAATTTCACAGTTCTAGAGTATTTAGCTGCTTAATCAGGATTTCTGTTCAGTTCGATCTATATTATCCTGTCTGAATTATTTTATTTAAAACAAAACAATACTGAGTTTGTTCTTTTTTTTTTTATGTTTTATGTAAGAACAAAGTGAACAAAAGAGGAAAAGGAGCCTCTTTTATGTGTATATAACTTTTATTTGAGAATATCGTTTTTGAAGTTTATCTTGGATGATTTAACTCAAAAACTTAATTTTGCTTTTGTACTTTATGTACAGTGTGAACCTGTAAATTTTTCACCTAAGTCAATTAGTTCAATAGGTACTTTTACTTTTAACAAAATCTTTTTTACACAGATATCTGTACATTTGTGTGTACTTTTGATACCTCTGGTCCCAAGACTATATCAGGTATCAATGGGTAACCAGGTCTGCCTAAACAGGAACAAATATTAAGGCAGAAAACAGTTTTTCTTCTGTCATTTTGCCAGTTTCTGCATAAAACAACTAAGAAGGTTTATGGCTTTAACTGATTTCAAGGTTTGAATGTCTAATGCAGTACGCCCTTGACACTTTCTCTCTTCAGACAAAAGAGTTCCTAACTCTGAAGAACTTCAGGTGACTATTTTTATTTAGTGTGATTTTGGTCAACATCCTTGATCTATAGTGGAGTCCTAGACAAACAGGAGAACAGCAGCTTTAGGATTTGCGTGATAAAAAGGTCAGGCCTCTCTTGAGCTATGATGCCAATAAGGTGGATCATGGGCAAGGTTAGAATTGATATTTGTTATATAAAATGTTATATAACGTTGAGATCTGCACACATTATATTCTTATGGGGACAAAAGCTTCACAATTACACTACTTTAAAAAGTAAATGTAAATATTTGAGGCTGATTCATTGTCAGCTTGTAGGAACAACTACGTGAGAAATCAAACATCATGACTGAATTAGTCACTCACCATTATTCAACATAATTAAAAGAATAAATTGACACCAAGGATCAGTTTAAAAGGGTAACACAGTAACAGATAATCTGCTTAGTCGTGTTTAGCTTGTTGGGTTTATTTTTGAATGCATTTATTCTGAACATCCATCCATCTTGTAGATTTATCCCTGATCCTGCGTCCACAAAGTGGTACCAACCCATGGCACTTCCACCTCTTTGCTTAACAGCTGTGAAGTAATTGTTGAAATACCATGTTTGAGCAATTTCAAACATATATTATCTATTCTGGTGCACATAGTCTTGTGCTTCATCTATGCATAGATTATCATTACTGAAATTGGTTGATTTGGGTGTGTATGTATGGGGGGTTGGGGGTTATACAGAGTCTTGTTTTTGTCTATTTCTAGAAGGAAAACATTATTCAGGGTGAACTTGACTGAATAGATTTTGTTTGAATATCCTTGAGCTATGTTTAGGCAAGTGGAATTTAAACTGCTATATTAACTCTTCATATCCAACCCAAGACTCATAAGCACTACAATATATTTTTTATGTGTCAGACAGCTCCTCCAACCACAGACTAACAGGGGGGGGGGGGGGGGGGGGGGGGCGTGTCTGCAGTTATTTCTCACAAAAGACAAGGAGAGAAAACAATTAAATAAAGGGTAAGCAGGCATGCAGAATAACATCGATTTTTAAAAATCCATACGTCCAGACCTGTTAGAAAAACAGCATTGTAAAACCTTATGACTTTTGCACAGAAGTAAAGAAAATGCTTATGCATTCCCACTTATTGTTGTTCACTTTAAATTTTTCTGACTCTAACTAGTCCCCCAGTTTTCCACCGATTTCAACAATTTTGGTATCAAAACGTTCAGCTTGTTCAGGAGAATTGTGCTATGTCTTTTGGTAAAGATGTTTTCCGTAGTTTTCGCGATATTCAACTTTTTCTGCAATTTTTTTGTCCCATTGAAATGCATGTAGAATTCTTAGATTTCAGCAAAATTCAGCTAAAACTTCATCATCTTTGACCTTTAACTACTTCAGCATACTTTCAGCTAGAAACACCATTCAACTTTTAAAATGTTTCCGTATCTTTCTGCTGTTACTGTTTAACTCGGCTTTCAGCTAACTTTTAAACAATTTTTACAGATTTTCAAATTTATAATGGAAGTCTATGGACGGAATGTTCAGCTGCTAGAGTGTGCCACTCTAGCGTTTTCAAACATTTCACTCATGCCGAACAGCTTCAACTCACTCGCACATTTTTTACTTTATCTAGATAAATTTTACATCAAAACGTAGGGATTTTTGTCAGGATTCAGGAAATGTAACCCTCTTTTGTGTGGGATTTACAGTTTTCCGACAGTTTGGCCCAGACCACGAAGAAGTCCACACTTCCCCAATAGAAATCCAATGAGAGCTCTCTGAAAGTCCGAACTGAAAATTCAAAAAAAACAGACTTTTTCGTATCGCTCCCATTCGGGAACCATTCGACCTAGCAACATGAGCCTTGTGGAAGTTGTTCCTCAGACCTTCCTAGCACTCACATTGAAGGAAGTGTGTCGATATCTTTTATCGTTTAGCTAGGAAAAAGGTTTGTTCGGGGGTAACAAATCTGTCCGAACCCCAAAATCAAGATTTTGACAATTATACACTTTTTTACATCGTCACCACGCCTAGACCAAATATTGTAGAAATATGAAAGTTACACCAGTTGTAGTCCAAAGTTTGCCGACGCTCACGGTGAAAGAATTTTTTGAAT